GTTGCATCGAAAGAACAGGATTTGCATTTTGAAATGTTAAAACAGTCGTGGATGTGATTTTGAGCTTTGACACCACCCCGAGCTTTATAAATTATAAAATATTTATGAAAAATTTTTAGTTTAACTTCTACGTAAAGACATTTTAACAAAAAGCAAATTCCCCTCAATCATATATAATTTTTCCCCTCGATCATACATATTTAAATATTTCTTATTAAAAATGTTTATCTCCAACTTCCCTTAATTTTATTTCCTTATAAACAATTTAATCTTACCCTTTTTAATTTTCTCCTGAACTAAAACTATATATTTTTTAAAGTAAATTTATTTGTACTATATAAACTCGTTTAAATAAACTTTAAATAAAAGTGTTATAAAACATAAAATGGAAACCCGAATATACAATATACTGTGAATAAATTAAAAAGTAAAGTTAAATTAGTTAGCCCCAAACCTATTAAAACAGTAAGTGGGGCTTGTCTGAGGAAGAGTTACTTGTCGGAGGAGAGGAAGATTTTTCATCTTATTTAAGTTAATATTTTTAAGATAACTTACATTAACAGACAAAAAATAACTAAAAAATTAATTGACAAAAAATTTCTGAATATTTTTTGGACAAAAATATTTTAATTTTAACAAAATCTAGGTTAATGTTATTTTAACATTTATAAAAATGATATTTAACAAAAATAAATTCCTTCTATAAATGAATAATAAAATATGAAATGAATGCGAAAAAACATTTAATTTAAAAATATGAATAATTTAAACTAAAACAAACTAATAAAAATCACACGGTATTTGAAAATATTAAAAATTTAACTCATCAAGTATTACAAATATTTAATAGTGCTACTAAAAATTACTATTATTATTATATTTTCAAATTTTTTAATCGGGTTGATCAATTTTAGAGACGGTTATTTACCCACATTTATTTTAATTTAATTTTAAAAAACGTCATTTTATTTAGGAAATGTTTTACAAATTTAATTTTATTTAATCTTCAATTTTAGTGTACGGGAACTGAGAAAGCAGATAATCCAGAAATTATCGCTGCAAATAAGCAGTTATGCAACATTACAACATCAATTGCAGTCTTCACTGTTGATTTCGCCTGTCAGAAGGCAGTGGCACTGGCAACTGGATATACGGATTGCGAATCCGCGAAAATCCGAAGCAAAGTTGTTTCTGACTGTCGCAAGATGCTCCATTTTGTCGAATTCTCCATGTGCATTCTATGATAAACGACAAAGCTTGTTGTCAACAGAAAATTAATGCCGCTACAGATTCTGTTATTAGCAATTGTAACAAGTTGACCTCTGCCGTATATGAATTCACGCTCTCTCATTGTAAGGTGGTTAAGCGTGAAGCGATCTATGCTTCAGAAGCAGGATGCTTCCCGGCTACGAATGTGGTATCAAGTTTTATATTAGATAAATCTTTTGCACTTGGAGTGCCGAAGAATAATACAAATATCACAAATTTTAAATGTTTTAAATTTTTAAGTACACATTAATTGTATCTTGAACTTGCGAGTGATATTTGATTAAATAAAAATATGTTATACTGATTTAAAATTTTTTATTAAAATAAAATAAATAGACAATTTTAAAGAGCATTTTAAATATTTTATTAGAACTCATTAATTTAATTCTTTTGAAGAAGTTACATTGTTATTTCTGCCTTCTTTTCTTGAAATAATGCCATTTTCAACAAACAAAAGTAAACTTTCTATTCGGTTTAGTAGATCTCTGTCCCGGAAAAAATGAACAGAAATTAATTTATATTTTAATTTAAATATAATTTAAAGGAAAAGATGGCAAATTAAAGCAAAAATGTTAATTTTGGACAGAGATTTGTGACCATGCTGGGTCATAGCCTACATCTGGAGGCCAACTATTTTTTTATGATTTTTATGTTTCTTCTGAACTCTAGCCCCTAAATTCAGCCCAAATCAACTAACCAGTCTCATAGTTAATCATCATTTAGGGGACATTTTACAAAGATTGTTGCATCCTGAGAAATTTTCTGATATCCGAATCCGGAGGAAGAATTTGAGATTTATTTTGGATTTCAAGCCTAACTCGGATTCTTTTTTTCGGATTTGCCAACTCTAACATTGACAGGTTTCAATATTCAAAAAACGGAAATTTCAGATATCCCCTCCGGGTATCTTAATTAAACCCTAATAATAAGTTTACAAAACTACAGACAATTTTTAAACAATTTAAAATTTTAAAATAAATTACTTAGCTCTTCTGTGTCCATATCTACTATAAAGCCTTTTAAGTATTATTTTTTGTTCTTCTTCCTCATTTTCATTTGATTTATTTCCTTCATTATCTTCTTTATTTTCTTCCTTAAACTCTTCCATTTTTCTCATTCTTTCCGCCACATTTTTAATTAAATAATCCTCGTGATTATTCTCATTTTCTGTAGTTTCACTTGGCATTATTGTTGTAGATATTAATAATTTATTTTCTTTAAAAATTTTATCCTTGATAATTGTCGTTTGATTTTTCATTTTCTAGTTAAAAATAAATTTTAGAAAATATATGTATTTATTTATCAATGGTTTATTCAGAGCAGTCATGGAGAAGGTAGGGGTTTTTTCGATCAAGGATCTGAGAAGAGTCTTTATCATTCCCTCCTATTGAAAATTATGTGTTTTCTATAAAATTCAAAAAAATGAAAAATTTTTTTAATAAAGTCGTTTAACACCTTGTGGGTATTAACATCTGCACAAGACAAGACAGAGGACTAGGTCAATCCAGATTTGATAATGGATACGGATATGGATACACCTATTTTAAAATCACTGCGGATATCTGCCTGTATCCGCCGTAAGTATCCGTCCATGTCCATTATCAGGTTTGTATAAATCTTTAGGTGTTCCCAATAAGATAAAGTTTCTCTAACCACCAAAACCATTCACAAAATATAACTTAAATAAAACTAATACCTCATTATTATCTTCATTCTCTTCTCTATTTTCTTCTTCATTCTCTTCCTTTTCTTCCATCTTATCCCCACCTTCTTCATTATTAATAATATTACTTTCATTAATTTTCGCTTCATTTCTCACTCCATTTATTTCATTTTCAGTTAAATTATTATTTAATTTTTCATTTAAAATTAAAAAATTTGTTGTATGATTATTTATTAAATCGCCATTTTTAATATTATTTAATTTATTTAAATATTCATTAAATTCTTTTTTATTTTCCTCATTTTTTTCTTTCACTTTTTCATCATTTTCTTGAACAATTAAATTATTTTGTTCAATTTCTTGATTTATTAAAGTTTTGTTTTCTATCCAAGAATTTGGAAGATTTTCTTTTTTATTTTCTTCTGTATTTAATTCATTCAAAACTTCTGTTTGGTAATCTCCAGGGATTAAATTTAATGAAGGATTGTTTAGGGTTTCGTGGTTTTTTGGTTTTTCAAATTGAAAAGCTATCTGATAAAAATTAAATTTTTAATTTTTGAATGATGAATAATCCTTTTTCTATTATCAAGGATATAGCCGACATGAAAAATAAATTCCTGATTTTCGGGAATAAAGTCGTTTAGAACCCTGCCTTAATTAGTCCTTGGTTATTAGGCTAAACCCAAATTCGGACAACTTTGATTGGGAAATTGAGCAGGACTGAGATTTGGTCTTGATTAGTTCATTACAAAAGGAAAAATTTTTTTAATAAAATTTAGAGACGTGTACGTTTATTATAGGCGTATTCAGTGTACCCAGAGGTGTGCGAGGTTCGCCTTTCGCTTTTTAAAATCACTTTCGGCACACCCCTGGTACACCTCTAATAAAAAATAGCTTTTGTAGAGGTGGATCCAGAACGGCAAAAGGTGTGAATTACACATTATTTATTTATCTACTCGATTGGGATAACATTTTCGCCTTACCGAATTTATTAAAGGTAGATTTTGATGTTGTCGTTCTATTTTTTCTTTTAATTGAATATTAGATGGTGGTAATATTTCTATATTATTATCAGATTCTTTTAATTCTTCTAATTGTGGGGGCTGATCAAAAGCAATATTTGAATTTTGTTTTAACCCATTTGCATTTATTGTAGGCTGCTCCTCTGCCAAACTTTTTTAAATTAAATATATGTAGGTAGTTAGGTATGTATAAAATAAGAATATTAAATTTAGGAAAGGATGGAAAAAATTCGATCGAAAATTCGGTTATCGAGATCGAGAATTTTTCGAGATCTTGATCTCGATTCTCGTACGACACTCCAGTCCTGGTTCTAACTTTTTTTTTCAAATTTTTTGATTCGCTATGAGCCGAAAAGAAGAATGAATTGAACTTCTTAAACGTGACATTGAATCAAAAAATTAAAGTTTCAAGAAGAATCTAGATCTAGATCAAGGCCCATCTCTATTTATTATCATTAAAATTCTTATTATCATTAATTATTTCAGTATTCCATAAAATTTAATTCAAAAATTTTTTTAAAAAATCCCACTTTGTCTCAAATTCGATTTCATTTTTTGTTTTTTCAAATCCTGTAGATCTCTGACAATATTTTTCATCAGAAGCATCATATTTACAATTTACAATTCCATCACAAACTTGTTTTTGATTTATTTGTTGAGTACCACTTTCACACAAAAACATATTATTTTGTGATAATGAATTACGTGATTTTTTGCATAATTGTTCATCTTCTCCTTAATTAAAAAGGCTATGTATTTGAAAAAGCAGAAGAATATTTTCTAATTTTGTTTGCATTACTTGAGTGCATAAAAGGGATTCTCTTCCGCTTACTTTCCCACATACACACTGACAGAAATTGATAAGACCCCCAAGTTTTAAGTAAAAAACATACTTAAATTAAAAATATCATAATTAAAAATACTCAGATAACCTAGCTTATACGTTGATTTCCGGGTTTGTGGAACTCGATGTAGGGATTATGTTAGAACTCAAAAAACCCAACCCTAATTATCAGTATAACAATGACAATAATTTTCACTATCTCTTATAAAAGCTTTTTATTGCTTTTACCATTTGGACATTGAGCATAACCATCACACCTTTCTTTAGCTTGTATACATTTTCCAGACTTTCGGCAAAAGAATTTGCCTGATCCACAATCTGTTAATTAAGAAAAAAATGTTTTGTCTTAATTCTTTTGACAGACTTTCACAATCCAATTCATCTGTTCCATCCGCACAATCTTTAATTCCATTACATCGTTGCCCTATCTGTTTATTTAATTAATTTTTTTTTAATTATTTATTTTGTTAAAAAATAATTCTTATTTCACAAAAATACCCTAAACTAACAGGAATGCATTGCTCTGATACAACACAAGGAAATTGAATAGCTTTACACATTGCTAAAATGAATAAACTTTGAAAGTTTAATCTAATTAATTTCAAAGAACTTTATCGAAACTTACGACAGTTTTGTTCATCCTCCTCTAATACACAATCATAATTTCCATCACATCTTTTGGACAGGGGAACACAATCCTCAGACAAAGGACATTTAAAATCTTTAATTGATGTGCAATTGGCAGCGACTTGAATTTTTGATAATTTAAAAATATGTATTAATGGCATTAACTAGAGACCGGACTGGAAGTGTCGACGATAATCGAGATTACGAAAAATCTCGATAACACGAAAATTTTTCGTACGAGAATAGAGATCTCGAAATATTCTTGATTTCAATTACCGAGATTTGCATAGAGATCACGTCTCGGTCCGGTCTCTAGTATTAATTCCCTACAAAGATGATTGAGATTGAAAATAAAATTTTGATATACAAATCAGCAAAACGAAAACGAAATAAACTTATTAGTTTCGAGCGATTGGATGGTTATCGTGAGAATTTCCACAATGCCTCATACTAATCTTCTTAAACATAATCCTAGACTTTTCTCAAATCTCTCAATGCCTCAGCCATCTGTTAATCCCTCTTAATCCCCATCACCCCTCCAAATCTACTAGTAAAATCCCTCTAAACCTCCAAAACCTACCAGAATTATCTCCAGTAGAGCACCCTCTAACATTATAATCATAATTGCAATTTTGTGTACCAATAACATCATACACTAAACCTGTCCGGCAATTCTTTCTGTATGTTCGATAACCGTCACTTTGCCATCGACAATGGTAGAATTCATTACTTAAAAATTTTATTTTTAAAAATTATTTTTTTAAAGGAATTGCTCAATTTCTCGTAGAATTGTATCTCTATAAAACCACAAATTCAATTGTTTATGGGGAATTGAAACAAGCCTTAGATGATTTTTTAATGTATAAATAAACAAAATTTTTCACTTAAGGTTTATAAAGTCAAAAAACTTAGAAAAAAACTTATAAAAAATAATTGGTTGGTTTAGCATCAAGTACTTAAGACAGGAGAAGTTCCACCTACCGTATAACTTGTATAATTACCCAGGGTAGTTAATAAAAGTTTTACGATATGTAGCCTAGTTAATCAGACAATAATGATAACGACAGAATTTTTGATTCGAGATGAACGAAACGACGAGAATGTTTGATGCGGATGGTTGAGTTTCTCAACGACGGGATTAATTAGAAAAATGAAAACGACGGGAGACAGCTTGAATTAAAGTGCTCTCGGAGATGGGTATGGCAGCTTTACTATACCTTAATTATAAAAATTTTTACCTGCAAGGAAATCCAAGAAATTGCCCCATAGGTGCACGTATCAGACCTGATTGTTGAATAAGATTGGTGTTATTACAATAGTTTGGAACGTTAGGTTCAGATTTGTTAAAAATAACAACTTCATTAATTAAATTACAATAAATTGAAATAATTAAAAATATAAATATGTAGTTTATTAATAAATAATTATTAAAAAACATTTTGGATCTTTTAAAAATTATTTAGTATATTATAAAAATTAAATGATGAAAATAAAAACAATTTAAAAGGATTTGAATAATAAAATGATTTTTGAACAAAACAAAAGGTATTTGGAGACTTAAATTCAGTTTGATTTTAATAAAATTCTCTTGAATGTTCTATTATTTCTTATAGTTTTCTTTTGATTAATAATTTAAAGGTTAATTAAAGGTTATAAACCCATAGTTTAGCACCGGTCAAGAATCAATCCTGGACATGTTATCAATTCCTGTTACGCATCTCGAAGCAAGGTTTCTCAATTTTATAAATTTTAGATCCCTACATAGACGTTTTAATTGTTAATTAATTTAAATTTAGTAAATTCTTGGAAATTTTTAAGGAGAAAAATGTCAAAAATTAAAAAAAAATCCAAAAATTTTAAAAGAAGGAATAAATAATTCAACCCCAAACAACAAAACAAAATCTTTAAAAAGTAAATAATCATTGATCAGAAGAACCTTGATTTTTCTACAAAATAAAATAAATATTTTCAAAATAATTTTAATGAAAAATGATCAGGAAATTAAAGGACTATAACTAGTCTAAATATGTCATAAAATGAATAAATTAATTATTTTATTCTTTACTGTCTCAAATATTTTTATTATTTTACTTTTCTTTTTTTTGACTGTCCATTTTTTCCGCGCGAGAAAATTTTTCTTTTTTTTGTTGTTTCTACTACTTCAAAAGCTAAATATATTTTTAATATATTTACACTAAAATATACATGCAAATGAGATGGACAAACAAATAATTAAAGACGATGAGGAAAAAATAAAATAATATTTTTATAAAAATATACCTATGTATATTGACAATTATTAAATTTATTATTTAAAAAATTCATTTACGGTTTTTCGAATTGTTTCGAGGCGGGGTATGGAATTTTAACGAAAAAAATTTTTAGGGAAAAATATTCAAAAATAATCAGATTCGTTATATTTTCGTTAATTTATTCAAAAATTAGGAAGGAGTTGGAGGGATTAAAGAAATATAGTATGAGGGACTAAGAGTATTTAGGAATTAGAGGGATAATCGCGGATATGGGAGGAACTTGGATGGATTAGGGTAGTTTAATTGAATATCAGTAGTGCTTGAGTTGTTACGGATTTGACGGAATTTATGTGGATGGATATCAGTGGATTACGGAGGGTTAATCCTCAATATCCAAATAATCCCTCTTAATCAACATACAATAGAATTTTTGATTTCCAGATAATTTCATCGAAAAATTTTATTACTTAATAAAAATAAAATTTTTAAAATGTCGAGAAAAACTAGCTAAAATATATATTGGCGTAGTGACAGAAGACCCACAGACAGAAGACCCAAGGACAGAAGACCCACAGACAGAAGACCCAAGGACAGAAGACCCACAGACAGAAGACCCAAGGACAGAAGACCCACAGACAGAAGACCCAAGGACAGAAGACCCACAGACAGAAGACCCAAGGACAGAAGACCCACAGACAAAAGACCCACAGACAAAAGACCCACAAGAAAAATTTTTTAACCAAAACTTAAGAAGAAATTTTCTGAAATTTTTGAAAAAGACTTGTCAATTTTTCTAGGCACAAGTTAAAAAATATTTTTAAAATAAAAGAAAAATTTATTCCAAAGTTAATCAATAAAATTTGATTAATAAAAAAGTGGATTGAAGAGTAGGGTGTTAATTGGGATATGTAGAAATAGCGTGGGATTTAGAAAATATAAAACCTCAAATATAAACTTCAAGTAAAACCTCAAATCCACTTATGTCTATTCTTATCCGTAAATTATTTATACATAACAGTAACCGGGAGAAGGAATACTCAGATATCTCTATTAAACAGAAAATCGGATATGTCAGGATCGGATATGTCATGTTTTTTGACATGACCTGGACCGGGTTAAAAATCCCGAAAATCCCTTCGTTAAACAAACTCCCAGGTCATTGGGACAAGATTCCCATCGTTGGAACAACTAAACCCATTTTTACAACAACATCCCCCATTGTTAAAATACCTGTTTTTGGAACAACTTCCCCGTTATTGGAACAACATCCTACATTGTTTCAACAACCTTCCCAATTTTTGGAACGGCCTTCGCTAGTATCGAAACAACTTTTCCCGTTTTTGGATCACCCTTATGGAAAACTAAGAAAATTAACAACATCCCTCGCGCCAAAATTTATGCACAATAAAAGGGAAAAAATAGTTGTAGGTCTTTTGTCTGTGGGTATTCTGTCCTTGTGGGTCTTCTGTCTGTGGGTCTTTTGTCTGTGGGTCTTCTGTCCTTGGGTCTTCTGTCTGTGGGTCTTCTGCGTCGACACGAATATATATTTTAAACATGAAAATAATTTAATTATGAAGAAATTGGAGTAATTTGGTTTATCTTCTTGTTAATAAAAACTTTTGGAGTAACATGTATTTGTGGAGTTGGTGAATTATTAGATATTTTTTTAAAAAATTTTTTGATTAAATTAAATTCTTTTAAATAAGCGTCTCTGTAGTCAGAACTTTAAAATAAAAATAAATTTTAGCATTATCATGTTTTATACGTCCAAATAAATGTTTTTCAAGAGTTTCATCAGTTTTAAAATATATTATGGGGTCCATAACATTTTTTCATTCAAGGCATATATTTTAGTTTAACGACCCCTAAAAAAAGGGCCCTAAGTAAAAATATGTTACAGATTCTATGGTTAATTTAGACTGAAAACATCCAAAATTACATTCGATTGGCCCTATTGGCATTATTACATTTTTTAAAATTTTATTCAAAATTTACCTATTAATAAATAAAATTGGGGCATTTGCAGCTAAACCAATCAAATAAATAACGCCAAAATAGGATAAAGTAAACCAAGAATCTACACTTATAATTTCGTGCTTTGTTAAAGAATCTCCAACAATAATTATTACTATTGTGTTGTAAACTATCATAAAGCCAATATTAAGAAAAACAATTAGAGACAAGGAACGATAAAGTTTTTTCATTGTTGGTATATTTAAATCTGAAAATTTAAATCTAAAAATTTTCCGAAGTTGAGTTAAAGTTCGAATATTAAAGATTAATAGTCAGGTACTCTATATAAAGCAATACTTAGACGAGTCTGCCCGAAAATAATCACTTAAATGGACCCAAACAGGGCGAGCGCAAGACACTTGCGGCATGCCCCTATTTTGACACTTGCGGTGCCGATACTTGCAACTATGAAATTTTCGGCGCAGAGATTTGCGGCTATCAACTTGAGGCCCAGACACTTGCGGCCCAGACACTTGCGGCCCAGACTAATGCGGTTTTAACATTTGAGGCGCTCGCTATTGTGACATTTGCGGCCATGATTAAAAAATTAAGTATGTAAATTAAAAAATGGGCCAATTACGTCAGAAATGCAATGCGCTCACCACTGATTCCAAACAGAAATGTTTCAAAATAATTTAAAAAGACTGTGTGATAAAGGAGCGATATTATAATTAAAAATAGCCAAACTGTTAAAAAATGACCTGTTACGTATTTAGTTAAAATTGCAATAATTAAGTAAATTAGTGCAGATATAACAAAAATTACTAATGGAACAACAGAAGCTATTGGATTAATTAAAGAAAGAAATAATGTATGGTCTAATGGATTGCCAGTTATTAATATATTCTTATAATCAAATATTGGCAAAATACCATATAAAAATATTGTTATAGCAA